CAGAAGGTCGTGCAAATCTGCCGCGTTGCCAATATGTTACAGCATGTAAGTTCTTTACTGAACATTTCTCGAATATTGCAAACAACACAGTTAGTTAGAACATTGGTCAAAATATGTCCTCACCTTTTGCTACATCCAAGGATATTAACATAACGCATCAATTCAACAATTAACCCATCTCACACCACGAAGAACTAGAAACCATGGCGGCACTAAAAAATAAAAGGACTTCAGGGCTTGACAGATTACATATTGTTTTTCTGTTTAATCTGTCACTTCTGCTTGGCATGTTCCCGGAAGCATTTAACACCGCACGTGCCATTCCCGTGCATAAGAAAGGTATTGACAACTATCCCCAAATATCGTTTCTGAACAGCCTCTCAAAAGAACAACATTGGCCCAGAATAAACAGATCATTGGAGTCCGATTTTTCTAATAAACTGAATATTATATTTACTCCATTAGACACTTATAACCAATCGCTAAAGCTTTTCTTTGATCTAATAGAAGCTTTCGATACCTTGGATCCAACAATTCTGGTAGACAAACTAAATGCTCTAAGATTTCCTTACACTGTTTTGAAATGAACAGACTTCTGCCTTACACGCAGAAAGATGACTGCCATGCAATGGCGAGCTATCGGAAACTCTTGATGTTCATCTTGGTGTGCCTCATGGGTATATTTTAGGAGCGTTGCCTTTTATATGCTACATAAACGATCTCCCTGACTGCATTCAGGAAGGACGTTTGTCGATTTTTGCAGATGACACAGCAATTACTATAAAAGCACCAAAGTCATAGCTGAGATGAGTGCTTGGTGTTTCCGAAACCCATTAATTTTTAACTCGAAGACAATATCAATACAGTATCATCCGGAAAACTCTTAATCACTTGTGTCACGTGCCAAAATCATGCAAACTTTTTTTACTATGTTGATCACTTATCAGAAATTTGAATTTCTCTTTATTAATGGTAGTCGATTACTAGGGAAAACCCTTTTTCATGATGTTCTTTTGGCAAATTTCATAGTTTATTGATTGTATAATTTCACACGTATTATATCTTTCTTTCTCAGCGATTCAGTATTGTGTTGAAATCTTTTGGACACTAATAATATAGTATTATTAACGAGATAAAATATCATGGGCCCCCGTAGAGTTGGCTCCACCCATTGTTAACCAGCGCCACCTGGTGATTTCCTTACGTACTAGCCGTCTAGGGATATTTGGTCCTATTAGGATACCTTCTTTTAAAATTTGATTTCCTATTAGTATTAAAAAAAAAGGTTAGCTGATTTTGGCACGTGTCACTGGATCCAGGGTTTGAAGCAAATATTAACCTAGCCTATGAGGCGAAATAGTTAAGATGCATTTGGGACTATTCGCTAAACTGGAACACAGATCGACAATGTCTGTAAACAGTTAAACATCGCTTTTTATGCCCTAAGTCAGCTAAAGAATTGCCTTGGTGGAGATGCGACTATGTATATTATTCCTATATTATGCCCTAGCCTACTCACATATATTGTCGCTCAATATTTGGGGTAACAGCGGTGCATGTATCCGTGTATTCAGCTCTCAGAAGCGAATTATCCGTCTACGCTGTTTAATTTTACCACTAGAGAGTCCTGTAAACCGACATTTATCAGAGACCGTATTGACTCTATCATGTTTTTACTGTTTTATTTACGTTAGGTTGTACTGGGATTAATTTGAGGTCTATACTACGCTCCATAATTTCAACACGAGACATCACAATGTATTGTGCACAGTAAAGCTAAATTCGAAACTTCACCCTTCTTCAACTGTATTGGAAAACATCGAACTTTCCTAACTTTCTTTGAAGTGGAATTTTGAAATAAATTTTACATTAACATTGTTCCATTTTCTCTGCTACAAGCTGGCATAAGTAGAATTTTTATATGACGTTTCGTCTCTTGTCAACAACATCAACTTTATTTTTTCTTAGAGACGCCATATTGGATTTTTACACAGATAGAGTTTTTAATTCTGATTCCAAAAATGTATACCACGTCATACATTGACAAACCTTAGTTAAAAAGCAAAATTTCCTAGGTAGGCTTTTAAATCATCCGGTAGTGATTTGTTTCGCATATCAGATTTATCTCAAAATCACTTTTATTTTTTCCGTGTCCTTTTAGAATCAGGAATCAGAACTGAAAAATCTATTCATCTGTGCAAAAATCCAATATGGCGTACATAAGAAAAAATAAAGTTAAATTAAGCCTCCTTGTAGAGGAGAAAAAGTAGCAATATTAATGTGCATTTTATTTTGAAAACCAACTACAAATGAAGTTAGGAAAAAATAAAACGATTTTGACAAAATTCGGTTTTTCCGTCTGGCTCCAGAAGTACTAATGGAGTTCCAAACTTTCTCAGCGGCATTTTGTTGATTATCTAAATAGGCAACTTTGCCCCCATTTAAGCGAGTTCATATCTCTTGCAGTTTCCAAGATCCCAATTATGAGGGTCGAATTTGAAACACCCTGTATAAGCAAAAAATACTGAACTGCTTCTGACTAAAGCATATTATAGCTGTAAAAAGTTTTTCGATGACACTGTTTAATCTTAACTAACCTTTCCTTTCTTCTCTAATATGCTTGTAAATTTTTCCTGTGTATCTACCTGTTAGTGTTTATATTGTAGAACGTTTAACGTATTTTTTGAAATTTATTCCTGTGTGAGATGAGTGGCGATGTCGGTATTATTCATAGCTCGTCAGTCCTCTATCGCTTCGACATCCATATTTGAGTGGGTACTAGGCAACATTAGGAACCATTGATGTTTTCAGAGTTTCATTTGACCATACCTCGTATGAAATGACGTTAGCGTTGTTCTAACCTTGCAATCCGTTTGCTGATTGGATGTGTACTACGATTTCCACATGAAAGAGCACGTCACTGATGACGTCACGCGTTTCCCGGGCCAGCCTTGATCGAGACATTTCTACGATGTTGACCTAGAACTACCCTTTAGTCATGATGATAGTACAGCGAAATTCGAAACGAAATATTATTGAGGTTTTATAATGTTTGAAACTTATCCCGTGGTTTTCATGTTCATAGGAATCCATTATGTGGCCAAGTCAATCGACCATATACTTCTTTTAATTTCTTTTTACTGTATGATGTTTCTGTTAACAAGGTAGTCACTGTAGGGTGACTGTACAAGTAAACCGGGCACTACCAGCAGTCGGACAAATCTGATATTGTTAACAAAAATTTTACATCCACAAAAATAGGATTCGATTCCTAACTTTTGTCAGTTGAGTAGGCGATATAAAAAAGGCAAGTGGAATAGTCAGCTGACAATATATAAATGCTGTTTTTGTTACATATACAGAAGACGGTCAAAATTTACGAAATAAATTAATCTTTGAGCTCAAAAACTGGAGTGGCCGCTGACTGGATTATCATACTCAAAATCCATTAGTCGGGCAAGAGTCCGACTACTGAAATGGAGTGGTTTTTATCAATCTATCTTTTTCTGTCCATCCATAGAGACTAACAAACCAAAATACGACTGAAGCCTCAGCTAGTGGACGGACAACGTAAGATAACAAATAATCTTAGATCATAGCCAATGATATATTGTGTCCGACTACTGGAATGGATGAATTTTCACAGCATCCCAATAACCGGCACCTTCTGCCCGAGCACTGCCAAAAAGTAAAATAAAATTATAGGAATACGAGTATGTACAAGCAATGAATTTGTTGTTGGTGAAATGTTAACAACATAAATGATCACCTTCAAAAACATTAGCTTAGCTATCTTGAATATTCGTATTTATATACACTTGGTATTCCATTTTTGTCTAAACTGTCCGATAACTGGCATATTCATTCTACTTGAAAAAGACTACCGTGGTGGCAGAAACATACAATAAAAGGAAATTAAAACATGTGGCTTGAATCTGCAAAATAATGCAATCCTATGATTTAGGCCCGTATCGTCAGTCGTCCCTACAATTGTAGAGCGCGTTTATGGCCTCCTTGATTGTCATACTTCTTTCTCTCCTTCAAAAATTTCTAGATTACACTTGTCCCGTGTCAGCGTCAGCGCTCTCCTATTGTGAAGATGTTTTCTTTTTAAATTGTAGGAAATTTCAGGCTGATAAAACATGATATAACTCAAAAGCAAGCACAATTTGATGCAAATAGATGTTTGTGACATAACCTCAAAATAGAGCGCTGACACGGAGAAGTAGAAAACTATGACAATCAAGGAGGCCATAAAAAGAACAACAAAATGTCACTTTTCAAGATACGTAATATCCCAATAAGATTACAGTTTTAATGCTGAAATACCTTGACTACAAGAAACGTGACGCTCATGCGGTTTTGATGGACCGCTTCGAAATAGTCGTTCTTTTCGGCCGAAGTCTAGATGACCGACCACTTGATCTCGCACGAACACATCTCGTCAATAGCGGTGGCTGCTGCGAAGAAGCAGGGTTAAGAAGTACTTTTCTCCACATGACCACCGCTCTCGGTGCAAGGCCCAGATAAAAACCTACAGCCTCGAGTACTGCTCATATCTTTGGGGTGCTGCCGACTCTACTACATTATCCATTCTCGATGCTATTCAGAGGAGGGCTGTCCGACTCATCGATGAACCTTCTCTGTCTCTCATCCTAACCGTGTCGAACTTTGTGGATCCAGAACTGGCCGATACGACCGCCCTTTAGTCCCTAGTGTATCGAGATTGTGGAACAAAACCTACTTGAGGCTTTTCCTAGTTCTAATAACCTGAAGCAGTTTAAAAATCGGATTACCAGTTTCTTTAAGCTCCTCGTAGCAACCGCGGTGCCCCAATATTTATTCTTCTGTGATTATTAAAAAAGTCTTCTGATATGAGGTTTAAATTTTTATTTTTTTCTTTTTATTAAATCTGCATGTAGGTATGAATACTTTTGTTTCGAATTTTTCGAGAGATACTCCTTAATTTTGCTGAACTGTAAACTACAATTTTCCCCCAGGTGCTCGTCTCCGAGCTGAACATGGCCGAATTGAAAGCTGCGGACTATAAAACCGACTTGCAGCGCGTTTCCGAAGAGCTGTGCGAAATGAAGAAACGCTATTTGGCCGAAAAAAAGGTCAATTACGTCCAAAAGAAGAAATTCGAAACCACCATAATGCAAATCCAAGCGCGCGGCGACACGACAGCTGCCGGACTTGGCAGTAGCGAAGTCAAGTTTGCAGGTAGAGATGGGCAAATATCGGCGGCGGCGGGGTCGATAGTTTTATATCGAGCTTTATTTACAGGGTGGTACAGAATGTTGTCAAAAAAATGAAGGGCAGATTCAGCACGTCATGATGAGCCGTCAGGATGCACCATTTAAAATTTGAATCGTCTATTAAAAAAACTTTTGAGCATTTTATAAAATTTCTGGTTGGGAAAAATAACGCGGCAAATATAAATATTGAGATGCAACGTTATTGGCCTGCCATCACTATTTGTGATCAGCCAGCACTTTATTGATTGACCAGTCCGACCTTAAATAACTGGCGCTGCTTTTTATTGTCATTGATTGCCAACTTGTCGGTTTGATGCTCCAGCTCTTCAGTGCGACTTATACTAATAAATATAACCTATAAATACTTGTCAAAAATAAATGAGAAATCCTGTGTTCTGACGGCACTGTGATGCTTGTAAAAAATGCGGCGTTTCAATCAACGTCATCGGCATTGTAGTTTTAAATATTTGATTAAGAATGAATATGGGGATTTCAATTAGTGAAATATCTACTTACGATATTATATTAACGTAAAGTTCTGAAATATTCTACTACATAATAGGTGTTTATTGAATATTTGGTTTTATAGGTTTTGCGATGTCGCCAGACTTCATTACTTTATAGGTTTTCGTGTTGATGGATATTTTTAGTAATTAAATTTGGAATTGTTAATTTTCTTATATTTCTTCAATATGGCAACGTCGCGGTCGCGGTATGTATAGGATCCGTTAGAAGGGTTTATCTCTGGATCCGTTTCATTCGGCAAATGTCATCATTAAGGTGTTAGGTGTTTATTCCTTCTAAAACCCAGACAGCATCAACAATATTCTGCGACTAATCCATTTGCGAGCATTTTTAATCTCATTTCCATCATTTACAACCTAAACCTAGTGTCTATTCGGATGGAGAAACAGAAACAGGTGGTGTAGCTAAGGTAGAGAATTAATAAAATTTCTATCACCATAACTTCTATCGATAGTTTGAGATTACCCATTCAACAGAAGCTGCACGTCCCATCTCTATTTTCAGGTGGCGGGTTTCGAATGTCCGTGCAACAATCCACCTCCAAATAACAATTGTCAAACGTCGCCGTTTAATTGTTTAGTGCGTAATACCAGCCGGATCAGCCCTGTGTCTCGTAAGTACCTATAAACAAACGAATCAAGGGTTACCGCGTTGTCTTCGTAACAATGTTTGTGTTTTGGGTTTTTTAGGTTAGCTACGCTTGCGAGTTGAGAGGGAAAATGTCAAAGGTGCTCGAGGTGTGCGTTGATAGTTTGGAGTCGGCAGTTGCCGCTCTGAATGGCGGAGCCGACAGGCTTGAGTTGTGCTGCTCGCTCATAGAGGGCGGCCTGACGCCTACGCCAGGAATGCTTATTCAGGTAAGTAGTATTTCCACGACAAAATTATGGACATAACATGTCTACCAGGGTATATTATAGATACCCAATAAACAAGGTCGTACACAGCTCAAAATATAAGGGGGGGATGTAATTTCCACAAAATTTGATATTCAATATCATATCTACTGTTGTACTGAAGATTTCAATTGGTTACTGCTGTTGGGTCCTTGGCAGTTTGACAGGTTAGCAAAAAATGGAAGGAGGTTCAGCAGGGGTGTTATGCTGAAAACCTAAAAGACGAAAAAAAAAACGCCAAAATCTCATCTTGCAGACTAGGTAGTTTTTAGTGTGTGAATAGCTCATTCAACTTTTGCTCACTATGGTTGCTGTGATGAGCTCCATCTAAAGCGTCCATCTATGGAGGAATGACTCAACGACCCGTCATGCATTGTTGGTTGCAGAAAGCCGAGTAGTCTGTAGTGTTTATCTCTCAGTTATACCGAGCAAACCTGGAACGAGCTATACGCACGCTAAAAACTACCTAGTATGCAAAATGACATTTCGTAGGGTTTTTTGTCGTTTTTCAGGTGTTTTACATAATACCCCTGCAAGTCTGTTTTTTGTGCAATCAAAATGAGACGATTAGACTTGAAGTAGTTACTCTTTAGATTGAATGCATTATTTGTACGGGTTCCTAGTTCCTGAGGATCTGAAGCATAAGTAGCAAAGGTTGTGTCATCCGCAAAAAGCGTGTTGAATATATTAGAACATGTAAGGTATCGCTCATGCTACAAGGAAGCATGAAGTGAACAACAGCTGGTTCCAAGTTGACTTCTTGTACACTTATTGTGAACTCATTTTGTAGCAGTACTTGTTGATTAAACATCAGCGAACAGCAATCATAGCAAGCAAACATGGAATGAACTACTTGCACACTAAAAGCTATCTAAACTACAAGATGACATTTCGTCTCTTTTTTTTTGACATTTCTTAGGTTTTTTACATACCTGCCGGTCTTCATGTTTTTTCGTTTATGGTGGCTTAATAAAGTCTATGTAGTTTAATTGTTTAGTGAAGTATTTTATTACTGACATTATTATGATATAGTGCAAGTACAAGTATGCTTTGCATTGTTTTATCCATTTGGGTAGTTTTCCATGATGATTTGACAATTCATATGTGTATGGAAAAGTGCTATGATGACTTTACTGAAACATAAAGCAAATATTGCGCGAGATGTCTTTTTAAGTAACAATTTAGTCATTTGCAATACTTGAAAGCAACACTTGAGATAATGTATGACAAATGTTTTTTACATACTGCAAATTTTATGTACCTATTTTTTGGGCATATAAAATGTGTTTGAACACGACATACCGATATTTAAGGGGGTATTTTTCAGCTATTTTTATCGAAAAATCCACCCCCTACAATGTCCTACCTCACCCCTCTTGAAATGGCAGTCATTTTTATTTTTACGTTACGATTACGCTAGTGCATGTAAGAAGTACATAAATGTCATAGAATGATAAATTTGGTGTCATTTAAACGATAATATGTTGCCCTGGCGATTATTGAAAAACTTTTATTGATACTAACCGTCAAACATACTTAAAAACAGACAAAAACAGAAAAAACTATGCAAGAAAATTGATTATTTTGTGCATTTCCGCACACCATTCAGAAACTAGTATGTGAAGTTGTACTTTTTTGTGCTAATTCTACAGCTAACTATGTTATCTACAGAATGACACCAAGTTTGTTATCCTAAGTCTTCTACGTTAAGTAATAGATGCTATCTAACATTGGTCAAAATGGGTGTAATTAAATGCAAATTGCTTTCAAACTTTTTATACATAAAAATGACAAATCAATGTTTCTCATGAAGAGTTTGGACATGTTCAATGTTACAGAAGCTGTTCAAAATGTCCTCCATTATTGGTTATGCACATTGTTGCTCTTAAAACCATGTGCCGTGTTGAGCGGCGGACTATATCCGTGTCAGCTCTAATTCCGTTCTCAGCGGTATGGATCTTTTCCACGAGCTCTTTCCATGTCGCCGACACACGACAGTAAACTTTTTGCTTCATTGTGCCCCAGAAAAAATAATCTAAGTGCATTAAATCGGGTGATCGGGTGACCAAGCGACAGTGCTTCCACGACCTGTCCATGGGGAATGTTGCCCAAAACTCAAAAAATCCCTGGGCATCTAACCTTGGAGATAGCTCAACTGGGCCGAATGAGACTTCGTTTCCTGTTGGAAAGTGTTCGGTCGAACAGTATGACGGTTTTCCAAGTGGTCGTTTCTATGGTTAATGATCCTCTGCCTCTTAAAATTTGCTTCGTCCATCCACAGAATTTTTTCCCAAAAGTTGCAGTCTTGAAGCAGCTGCCGTTGAAACCAGGTGCAAGATATGATTCTTGCTGCATAATCTGGCTCATGAAGATCCTGAACTCTTCTAAAATGATAGGGATGTAAACCTTCTCTCTTAAGGACTCTACAAGCCGACCGATGTGACAAGTGTAGTCTTGCAGCGATCCTCCTCACACTAACTCTCGGATCTCGGGTAATCTTGTTGAGAATCTCTTCTTCATCTTATGGAAACAGTAGCCGATAACGGTTGTTCACTGGCCTTTGAATCCCATTTTCCGCTAGTCTCAGGTATGTAAAGACAAAAGTCCTAACATTTTGCGTAATTCGATATACTCTCACAGCAACAGCGGCATTTCCAATGCAAAAGCGGTAAACAAACACCATATCAGCAGCATGGTGATTTGAAAATTTATTACGTGGACGATTTGGCATGATAGAGACTTAGGCATGACTAGTGAAATGTTCAGTCCATCTCAAATACGTTCAGAAAATTGATATCGAAACTAGTCAGCACTGGCAATAAAATGGACGTATATGATCACAACGCGTGGCGAGGGACTACAAAAAACTCACTATGACATTGACAACAAATAACCGGTTGTTACCATCTCGATAATGAGACCCATCGGTAGATGTTGTCCCACTCACACTGTCAATAAATTCACCTCTATACCAGGAATGTTGTATTCGGTCCGCTACCTAAATCGGGTAGGCAAGGGTCATGTTTAAGCAATATTTGTACTTAAAATAACTAACATAGGTTAACAAATTTGGTGTCATTTTGTAGATAACATAGTTAGCTGTAGAATTAGCATAAAAAACTACAACTTCACAGACTAGTTTTTGAAAGGTGTGCGGAAATGCACAAAGTAGTCAATTTTCTTGCATGTTTTTTTCTGTTTTTAAGTATGTTTGACGGTTAGTATCGATACAAGTTTTTCAATAATCGCTAGGACAACGCGTTATCGTTCAAATTACACCAAATTTAACGTTCTGTGACACTTATGTACTCGGTTATTACAATTTTTTTACATGCACTAGCGTAATCGTAGCGTAAATCTAAAAATGGCTGCCATTTCAAGGGTGGTCAGGTAGGACATTGTAGGGGGGTGGATCTGTCGATAAAAATACCGCCTTAAATATCGGTATCGGTATGTCGTGACCAAACACATTTTATATCCCTCAAAATTCAAACAGGGTGCTGATTTTTTCAGTCAAGTCGATAGGCCAGGGAAGTACAGTTAATTGCAAAAAAACTTCAAATGGAAGAATAATTTTCAGATATAACGTAATAGGCACACTTTTGTGGTAGGTAATCCTTGGCCCTCTATTATGGTACGTGTACACTATAGATTTTTCCCCGAGATTTGCGCTAGCTAGAGTCGCTTTAGACTAAGTCTATAGTGTACATATTACTGAGACTGCTCTAGCGAGTGTGGCGTAATACTCTCGGTAGCGCGACGTTAGTCTAGGTAGGGTTTTAGTGGACACAGTACTGAGACTAGTTCTCTAGATCACTCTCGCATTGTTTCGCTCTATTCGATGAGTTAAATAGATTAGTTGAAAGCATGGCTTCCCCACCAAGTGTAAATGAGCAAAAAGCTATGAAATGGGACAAAGAAAGTACTCTCAAGCTAATTGAGATGTACGAGGCACATCCAGAACTTTGGAATTGCTTACTGAAGGAGTACAGAGATCGGGATAAAAAGGCTCAAGCCAAATTGGAAGAAAATGGCATAATTTAAGGAGTCAAATGAATTCGGAGATAAGGAAAATTAAAAAACCAAAAGTTGAGATGGAACTGATGATAGACTGTGGAAAAGTAAGTGAGAATTTTATGATGCGTTACAGTTCATGGTGGGTTGCTCTGGGAGCACCAAAAGCACTGCAAACTTTAGGGATACGGTGAGTAAACATTTTTTCAGCATTAGAAACATATATTACATTAAGCAGATAAAATGGTATTATGTTTATATATATTTATACTGCCAGGCGACTTCACCATGTTTGGATACAAAATAATTTTCAAATTGTTCTCTTCTTTGGCTGTTTTCGATGGGTTTCTAACATTTGTAGTCTGTAAAGGAACCATATTAGCTATAGGATTTCCTCCATTTCTCCAACTCCCATTGATAACGTTCCCATCATTTTCAGTATCAAATATTCCATTTGGGGCATATAAATGTGCCGAACTTTTTTGGGTCAGTAAGAAATTATGCAAAGAACATATTGCAAGTACAATTTTTTTAACCTTCTCTGGAGGTAGGTCTATTGGTCGTCTAAGAACACGAAATCGAGCCGAGATCAGTCCGAAAGCATTCTCAACTACACGCCTTGCTCTTGATATTCTATAGTTAAAAACCCGATTAAATCCGGGTTGGTTTTTGAAAGGAAAAGGTTTTAATAAATAGGAAGTCAAGGCAAAAGCATCATCGGCAATAACAACAAAAGGTGCATCTTCAGATTCACCCGGTAATGGCCTTGGTTTTGGCATGTTTAACATGTTGTTTTCTAATGCTCTTGACAATGAACAGTTTGCATACACGCCACCATCAGATATGCGTCCATTGCACCCGACATCCACATAAAGAAATTTGTATTTTGCATCAACTAGTGCCATGAGGACTATGCTATGTGTTCCTTTATAATTAAAATAAAGACTGCCTTTATTCCTTGGTGCTTTCATAACCACGTGCTTGCCATCTAGAGCACCTAAACAGTTTTTAAAATTCCAAATCTCCTCAAATCCCTTTGCAACTTCATACCATTCTTCCTGAGAGTTTGGGATCTAAAAGAAAAAGTAATATTACAAAACTAAAAATAAGCTTATTCGCTACTTTTGTTTTATTTCAGGTTTCGTCGCAAGAGGAAGATTTTCTGGAGGAGTCTCAATTACAAAGCATAGAAAAACCAACAACATCAAATACTACAACTCATCGTTCGAAAAAACTAAAAACCAAAGCCAAGGAGAAAACGGACGAGGAAGGTGATGCAATGCTAGAAAAGCCTAAAAACATACTAAATACACCAACTGACGAGCATACCGTATTTGGTGAATATGTTGCTAGTGAATTACAGCAGCTGCGTTCTGATGAACGAAAAAGAAGATTAAAACGAATAATCCAGAAAGCTATAGTTGCAATGAGCGAGGAAGATGAAGTGGAGTTTTCTGGATCAAGAACACTTACACCTTTAATGTCGCCTACTTATTCACATTCGAGTACATACCCATCAACTTCAAATACGGTTGAAAGTTTTGAAGAGGCACCGATAACAAATACAACTACAAACCTTCCTCCAATCACGCAGTTTTACGAAAATTACTTACCTGGAGATAATCCGTTTTCAGCACAGTAAATATCGCTTCACAAACTTCAGGTATAATCCTTGAAATGGTCGTGACTGGAATCCGAAAAAGGTATTGCAGGGAATGATAGCTATCTCCTACAATTAAAAATGATTTAATTAGAAGTTGTTTTTGTTTGCTTTTTAAGTTAAATACATCCTAGAAAACAAACTCATGTCTTTCAATACTCACCTGTTGCTAAAAACCGTAACGTAAGCATGAGCCGTTCTGAAGGTGAAATAGCTAGCCTAAGATGAGTATCTTGTTTTCTAATCAATGGTTCAACTTTTTGAAGCAAGTATTCATAGTCCTTATTACTCATGCGTAAAAAGTTAGCGTATGAATTCATGTCTTCGCTGTGTAATTCTTTCACCAATTGAGCAAAAAAACCACTATCCTGTCTTCTTGAAATCCAGCTCCTAACCCACATCCTTCTCTTCTTGTTTTTTAGCTCAACATTTTTTCTCTTCTTCGTTATTAAAATAACAGAGGCAGCTGCAATTTACTTAATTCGCGACATTTCAAACTACTTCCAACAAACTACGGTGCAATAATGCCTATACGTTTTTACGAGATCAAATCTACCATGTTATGTACACACCACATAGAGAAATTGGTATAGATTTAATCTAGGAAATATCTACGAAGGTCTAGCGAGGGCCAAAATATGTTATAGTGTACACAGAACATAGACAAGTCTCACCTAGAGAACGTATCTAAATCTAAAATCTAGGTAGATTTTCTCTACAGTGTACACGTACCATAACAGACAGAAAAATATTTATAGTTTTTGTTAATCAGTCCTGTTGCGATAGAGTACTGAGTAAAAAAAACACAATTTAATCATTGGTCCTTCTATAACTTGGAAAGTACCTCTGGAATTTGAAGAAATTTTGAAAGGCCTGTCTAACCCCGATAGCATTAAATATTTATTTAATATTTTTAAAAAATGTTTGATAAATATTTGTAGCGACAGATTTTTTAATATTTAATAAATATAATTCGTATATATTTATAAAATATTCATTATAGATGTTTGTAGTATATATAATTCAAATATTTTTGCGATATTTTTTTCCACATATTTAGAAAATATATGAGGAAAGATTTTTAAAAATCAATTTGATGAAATATCTAATATTTTTCGTAAATATGTATGGATTTTCAAGCATTAATCTGATACATATTTTCAGTGTAGGTAGAAAATTATTCATTGGTTATTTTAGCAAAACCTGTAGGAATGCTTATATAAAATTGGGTTTATAAAGAAAATTCATTCTAGATATAATGGTTTAATTTGCTAGAAAAATATTATCAGAAAAACATTCGAAACCTCTTCTGAATCTCGCAAGTCCGCTCCTCTGAAAAAAAAACAAACTTACTAATTATGAAGTATTATTGAATACATAAGCTGCTTTCCAGTGTATTTATTGGTGCTGAGCATTGTGAGTTACTCCGAGTAGCTCAACTGGGTCACTGAAAAGCAGCTCTATCATGCACGTAAAAGGACCCCACATGTTATGCCTATGATAGTTCGAGATTTGGTTAATTTTTCAGAAAATTTAGTATGTGATTTTAGATATCTTGATGAAAAATGTCCATCCAACTTGATCTTTGACTAACACTTATTGATTTTGTTGAAAATTGACTTTTTTTAGTAGTCCACTTCAAGGCTAGTTATTTATGTAATACCTAATACCTTTATACTCAGCTGGCACAATAATGTTTACTAGAAAGATAAATTAAGCTATGTAATTATCGAAAAACTTACCCTTTTGCATTTTCCACAAAAAAATACTCACATAATGAACCACTTAGAGATACACAGGAAACACGCTATTATAGTGAAAGTCACAGGTAAAATGGCTGCCGATTTGTTATTATCCTACTGGTCGCTCGAGGTCATACGCACATGCGCCGTAGCCGAAAATATTTAATGAATATTTTCTAAATATTGGAGATTTAGTATTTTCCATTGATTTAAAAGTAAATATTTAATGAATATTGTAAAAGAAATATTGTATTTAATATATTTAAAAGATATTGAATAAATATTTAATAAAAATATTATATTACAAATATTTAATAAATATTTGTTTAAGAAAACAAATATTTGAGTAAGATAAAAATATTATTAAATATTAAATAAATATTTAATGAATATTTTGTGCTACCAGGAAATGGTACCAGTATTATAACAAAAAAATCTATAACTCCCCCAAACTTGACTATCTTTTTTTTCATTTCTGATGATTTTGAATGCAATCATAAATTTCCTTAGATTGTGAAATCTGGCAAAACTTCTTTTTTCAAATTTTAATCATCACTTTTGAATAACTCCAAATACAGCACAAACAATACGAGGTGTGCATTTAGAAAATATGCGGAGTTGGAATCTGGGTTGAAAAAGCGAGAAACTGCTGTTGCAATATGTTATCTAGAAACGGCACAAAATCTTATTCGATCGGGCTAAGTAGCCAGATGTAAACCCTGTTGCAAAAGAAATTGCACAGAAGAATTTATAATATATTCTTTAGTTTAGTTTAGGCTCTTCATCTCAAAAAAAAAAAAATTCTGGGTAACTTTTTTATTAAACGTATGTCTATAGAACTAGGAAAGGGATGACACTTTCAAAATTAGAAGTAATAGGTATATCTAGTTTGCTGCAACAGTAGCCAAAAGAAAGCTTTTGTAGTGAGAGATATTCATCGGTTGAATGGTGGAAAAGTTGTGTGTTTATATATTTTAGGAAATGCATGCGCTTGCAGTATCTGCGGAAATACACGGAAAAGCGAGCGAATTTTCTCAAAATCGTTTCTAATTTTTTCTGAATTTATTTGATATAGGATTTCAAAGTGAACTGCACATTAACATTGACTCTTTTTGATCTCTGCAACGTGGCACAAATAGAACATTAATATGATTCTTCGTCTCTTATCCCTCGTCTCAACTTTGATTTTTCTCGCGTATGCTATTTTTGCATAGGCGAACATCTTTTAATTCTGATTTCAAATATTGTGGCATGTCATATATTATTATAAAAAAATCCTAATTAAGCTTTGAAACTATCATATACATAGTCACTTGTTTCGTAGAATATCAAAGATAATAACATGTTACACGTTGATATCAAAATTTCAAGTGTCTAACTCCATATAGTTGATTTAAACTTATCGAATGCCATCGTGTAGAAGAGAAAAAGTGGTAATGTTATTGTGTAATTTGTTTGAAATTTGTAGACAATCTGGAAGTTCGAAAAGTTTTGTTTCACACTAAATCAAGGAAAAAATGAAAACGTCATAGAGTATATTCGGAAATACTTTTAATTTCCGAACTTACCATGAGTTGTGATATTTATGAAGCCTGGACGTCAATAATTATTGATACATAGATATCCGCTGATGGTACGGACCACACTAAATACCGATCGTATTATATCAGCTTTACCTTTTTCGAGATCTTAAAGGCGGGGTTCGAATTTGAAACTCACGGAACATATATAGTGCTTTTAACAAAATTACGTTTATATCTAACATAAATTTCAACTAATCCTAGTCATTTCTCACCTAAGATATTGATTCAGCTTGGGAACCCTGTACATGAATAAATTAATTTTTGCAAAAAATGTTCTCTCCATTTAACTTCTGCCGAGCTAGGGTAAAGGGAGGCCAGCTGACCCCCCATTTCCCCCGTGGGTACGCCCTTGACAATAAATGGAATGAAAGAAAGTGTTCTGCATACCCATTCCACTAATCTTCCAAAGGTGGTTATAATAATCGTAAAATATACGAGCAAAACATTCATGCTTTGGCACATATTAACATGCATAATTAAGCCCACACGCGATCGACGCCACAGTGGTTCAAAAGGTCTAAAATATGTCCAGAATTGGAAAGATTCAGTAAATTGTACAAAAAATCCATTTTTATGTTTTCCAGATCACTTATAACGAATATTATATCCATTTGTCAAAGATAAAAATGAAGGATTTAATATGGTATACAACTTCGCAAAGAAATGTTTTGACTGAGCTCAAATTCAAGTTTTACACGAACTTGATATTGATTGTTCAAAAATCGAAGTTGCGGTTCTAATGTGGCAGTTGTGGGCGCAAAAATGTTTTGATCGCGCTAAAAATTGGCTTTTAAGGCACTTAAATACCAATTACATATTAATATCCTATAGTGTCATGTGTCGATTGGTAAATAATATACTCAGTGACAGAAGTGTTACACTCAGAAAAAATAATTTCCTCTACTTATTTTTTTTTGCAACATAATTACTATATTTAAAGCATGCTGTGGCAACAATGTCAACGTTTTGTCTTTGTTCTTGTTTACCTTTGTTAAAATTTTATCTCTTAGTTTTTGTGAAGAAAGCAGTTTCTGAGAGCTGAGTAGTATATACCTGTATATTTTTAGTAATTGCCCTTTCATTTACTAGTGATAAGCTTAACAAAATGCCTCGAGTTCGAAGACGTCCAAATTATCACCATGTTATCGACTTCGACAGGCATAGAATTATTGCCTGTCGAGATGTTGGTTTGTCCTATCGCGAAATTGGCCGTCGTGTTGATTGTACTGCAATGACGGTAATGCGTGTGTGTCGTGTGTAGATAGAAGGTTGAGGAACACGAAGAAGGCCTACTGGTCTACCAAGGCGTACAACAGAGCGTTAAGATAGGCGCTTCAGACAACTAGCCCAACGAGACCGTTTTACTACCACCCGCCAGATCGCTGACCATTGGTTTGGAGAAGGTAGACCTGTTACTGTGCGTACACTCTCTAACGCCACATGCGAGCCTTTGTGCTTTTCTCATACCGTCCACGGTTAGTGCTTCCTCTGACTGCTGACCACTATCGTGAAAGTTTGAACTGGAGCAGAGAGCGGCAACATGGGGAGACAGATTGGCATAATGTCATCCTCAGCGACGAATCGCGATTTTGTCTAGGTACGCACGATGGTCGTAGAAGGGTAAGACGCCGCCGTGGCGAGCGGCGTGATATTGGATTTGCTGTTGAGGGGTAGGACTGTTGGAGTAATGGTTTGAGGGGCTATTGCCTATGGTAGTCGATCATCCCTTCTCTTTGTTCAAGGCAATATGACTGCTGCGCGTTATGTTGATGATGTCCTATAAACCACCTTACTGCCGTACCTAGAGGGCCGTCCACACGTCCTTTTTCAGCAGGACAACGCGCGTCCTTATATTGCTCGTCGAACATGTGTGGGTATGATGGGGAGGGGACTATCCACCTTGCACCATCCGCTTCATACTCTGCCACAGCTAATCCACAAAGTTTGAGCTGCTTGGAATGAGGTGCCACAACCAGACATCGATCATCTCATTTTGTCGATGCCTAGATGTATACAGGAGTTTATTCAGCTGTGTGGTCGCCCACCGCATTATTAGTTTTTTTCTTATTACTTGTCTACACAATTTCACGATAATGTTATCGTTTCATTCTTGACGTAAGACTACCTCATTTCCAAAGAAATCAAGTTGGAGAAATTATTTTTTCTGGGTGTAACACTTCTAATGTCACTGAGTATATAATGCCATATCATAATAACTACACATGCCTTCGACTCCGCAATCCATTTTGCCGCATCTCAGTACAGCTTATTATTTATTTTAAAACGTGACACTATTCGATTTTGGCCAGGTTTTTTAGGGTTCCTAAACCACCTCTAGACATCTCCACA